TCGCCTGCCAGTGGTCCCCGCCTACCCACAGGATATGACAGCACTCTGTCACCTGCCCTGTCCCCTGCGTTTCTGGGAACCAACTCCAGCACTCAAGTGCTGTCCCGCCACTTCAGACCCCAGCTCTGAGAGGCCACGTGACTTCCCCGTATTTGAGTTTGAGCTCCAAGGACTTGCTGCCGCCACCTTATTCTCCCCTCGGGCCGCCCCTCTGCGTCCCTCTCCCTGTCTGGCGCTCACCGTGGGTCAGGGGGCTGGGCTGCTCGTAGGTGCCGCTGTCCCTCTGTGGCTCGGGGTGCCGCCTCCTCTGGCTTTCCCGGGGCTGAGGAGGCTGCCGAGGGGGAGCCCCCGAGGGGGGCCCCTTCATCTCCATGTAGCTGCTCTCCCGGGCCCCCCCCAGCAGGCTGGGCAGGTCGCGGATGGTGGCGTAGGGGTTCTCGCTGCTCAGAGAGACCACGCTGGCCCCCAGCCCCTCTGCAGAGATGCGCCCTGAGGAGAGAGGAGGGGCAGGCTCCATGGCGGCGCCAACTTCCCCGCGGCTCTTACCTTGCGGCCATGGGGAGCCTGGGGCCTGAGCCCCGCTCCCGCCTCCCCTAGACCTGGGGCCAGCAGCCCCGTCTCCCGGACACACATGCCGGGGTGGGCCCGGGTGCGCCGGGGTGCTGGGCTACCGCGCCCTCGTGCGGACCTGGGCCTGGGCACCTACCCCTGTCCAGAGGCCCTGGGAGCGGCTCGCGGCGGTGCTTCCAGTCTGCAGGCAGGGTGGCGTGGTTGTCGTGCCCGTGGGCCCCGCCTGGCCGCTCGGGGGCCTGCAGGCTAGCAAAGAGCTGACTGCCCGGAACCTGAGCGGGCCGGACACACAAGGAGGGCACTGTGGAGGGCGGCTCTGGGAGGCAGGGCTGGGCCCATCCCTCTGCAGGCTGGCCCTCCCAGCACTGACCTTGTTGGGGGGCGGGGGGTTGGGGGCGCATTGCGACAGGGTGTGGTAGCTGGGGTTGGAGTAGTAGTGGCTGTAGCTCGGAGGGACATCTGCATGACAGCGCGGGCACAGGGTGAGCTGAGGCGGCGGGGCCACGCGGTCGCTGTCCCAGCAGGGCTGTAATTGGGCCTCCCTGGCCCCCTTCCTTCCTCCTCCCACAGCCCCCTCCCGCGGGCTCGCCCGCCTCTGTGCCCGCTCACCTGGCATGACGTACTCAGAGCCGTCCAGGCGCCCACTGCTGTAGGCCACCGCCAGGTGCTGGTGCTCCTTGCCTTTCTGCCAGTGGCGGGGGCCAATGAACAGTGCCACCAGGGCCACCACCAGGGACCCCAGCACTGCGATGCCAATCACGGCACCCAGCGAGTTGTAGGCCACTGGAAGGGCAGGCATCCTGGTGAAAGGTTCCTGCCCCCCTGGGGGGACAGTGGTCACTCAGGATGGCATCTGAACTCGGCTGGCGAGCTTGGGGCATGCCAGGAAGAGGTGTCCAAGGGGACATCTAGTTCCTAGTTCCCTGGGGACAGTGGGTGGGGGAGCTAAGAACTCACCAATCCTGCAGGGTGCACCACTGTGTCCCGGGGGACACACACAGGCCCCCGTCTCTGGGTGGCACCTCTCTCCAGGACCACACTGGCATGGCTGAGAGCAATTGGCACCAAACATCCCTGAAGGGCAGCCTGGGGTGAGAGCCAAGGAGACAGGAGTGCTCAGAGGGGTCTGCTCCAGGCGAGGGCTAGGTTGAGAGCAGGGGTGGGAAGTCCCCGACCGTGGGTACCTTCCAAGCAGTGCTGTCCGGTCCAGCCTGGGGGGCAGAGACACTTCCCATCCTGGGGGTGGCAGGTTCCACCATGGTGACACTGGCAGGGCTGGGCACACTTGGCTCCCCAGTGTCCTGGGGGACACGCTAGAGAAAAGGGGGGTGCCTGGAGGGGCGGGGCCAACCACTCTGATGGCCCCCAGCCAGCACCACTGAAACCCAACTTGGCTGTGCCACCTCCCTGCCGGCTCCTCGGGCTGTGGTCGTAATTTGGTCACAGGATCCCCAGGCTGCAGACAGTGTCAGTGCAACAGCGCCTCACACAGGCTCATCCCCGCCCCCTCTCGCCCCGAACTCTGGCTAATAGCTGCTGCACAACAAGAATCCAGGGCTCCCAGGACACCCGGCATTGCTCAGCTCTGGCGTTTTTTCTTTTCAGTATATGAGAGAAGCAAATATCCATCCTTTGGGAGGCATGATTTTGTGTGTCTGACACTAGCAAATCTTTTTTTTTTCTTTTGAGGTTTTTGCTATACGGTGTGTGCACTCACCAGAGAAAGAGAGACAGTAAGAAGGAAAGTAAGGGACCAGCAGATGGCGTAATGGCTGTGTTTCTGGACTCCTATGTGGTTGACCGCGGTTCAAGTCCTGGACCCGGCGGCTTACAACTCACATCGGGCGCATGTGCGTGCGTGCCCAAAATCCCAGGAGAAGGATGGAGGAGAAGGGATTGCAGGATGGCCATCCCCCCGGGGGGTAATTTCTCACTTTCTGTCTCTCTGTCCCTCTGTCTTTCTAGCAGACACACGTGTCCTATAGCAAAAACCTCTCAAAAAAAAAAAA